GCCCTACCCACTGAGCGATGGGCAGGCGCCGCCACTAAAAAACTTAAACTTAACACCTGAACTATATTTTGCCAAAGCTTCCCCTGGGCTCCTTGCTTGAGCCAACCCCCTTAGGTCTATTCCCTATACCCCTCCAAGAGTGATCTGCCTAAAATACAGATCTCATGTTTTACTTTGTAATTATAAATTTGGGGGGTTTGAAAATTAAATTTTGTGGTGCCCGTACTCAGTGGGTAGGGCACGGGCCACATACACATAGGCTGGCAGGTTTGAACCCAGCCAGTACCAGCTAAACAACAATGACAACAGCAACAAAAAGTAGCCAGCCATTGTGGTGGGCACTTGTAGTCCCAGCTACTTGGGAGGCTGAAGCAAGAGAATCACTTAAACCCAAGAGTTGGAGGTTGCTGTGAGCTGTGATGCTATAGCACTCTACCAAGGGCAACATTAAAAAAGGAAAAAAAAAAGAAAAAGGAAAATTAAATCTTGTATTTTTATAGTAAGAGTTTAAATTGTAACTATTTATCTCCCCCATTCTTCACTGTGGAATTGTCTAAGTTCCTTGGCCTAGCTCTTGAGACTGCCTTCCTTTCCAGCCTCATTTTCTGCAATCTGTCTTCTCCTGTTTTACAGTCTTTTAAAAAGATTCTTTTAAAATGGAAAAGGGAAAAAGGAAAGGAAGATAGAACTAGATCAACTACTAGTCTTCTCCTGAGATAGACAATGCTCTTTCATATTTCCATGTGAAGGTCTTTTGTCCATCCTGACTGCCCAGCTGCCTATAGCTGATCTCTCAAGGCCCAGCTCAGGATCTCCTCCTCCAGATTGGGCTAAATGCTCCCCTAACTCCCAATGTATGCCTGTATTGCATTATTACTGGTCACGTTATATTGCACATTACTTAATGTCTCTTTTATTTTTTATTATTTTTTATTTTGGAGAGAGCCTCAAGCTATCACCCTGGGTAGAGTGCTGTGGCATCACAGCTCACAGCAACCTCCAACTCCTGGGCTTAAGCAATTCTTCTGCCTCTTCCTCCCAAGTAGCTGGCACCCACCACAATGCCTGGCTATTTTTTGGTTGCAGTCATCATTGTTTTTTTGGTGGGCCCGGGCTGGATTCGAACCTACCAGCTCAGGTTAAATGTGGCTGGCACCTTAGCCGCTTGAGCCACAGGCACCAAGCCATGTCTCTTTTATTAAATTGAAAACTCTTTGAGGGCAGAAATCATGTATTATTTGTTCTGGAGTCCCAATATCCACCTTGTATAGTACCTGTCACCCAGTAGAAGTTCAATTAATGTTTGCTGAATGATTCATTACTGTACATTTTCCACTATTCTGTGCAGCTAGTGCAAAGAGTCTGGGAGGGAAGAACCCTTTCTGTAGGGAATAGGGGCACAAATAGGGATAGAGAAGGTCAAGGAAGGCTTTATAGAAGAGTTTACATTTGAACCAGGTATTGAAAGATGACAAGGGTTTCATCTAGTATAGGGGGGCACAGGGAAGGGCTTATATGTGCTTTAGGCTCATACTTTGGCTTCATGTATGTTGTACTCTAGGCAGAACTGCTCAGCTTACTAGTGGAAATCTGATTAGGGAATGGATAAAGCATAAAAAACTGGGCTCGGCGCCTATAGCTCAACCGGCTAAGGCACCAGCCACGTACACCTAAGGTGGCGGGTTCGAATCCCCAGCCCAGACCCGCCAAACAACAATGATGGCAACAACCAAAAAATAGCCGGGCGTTGTGGCGGGCACCTGTGGTCCCAGCTACTTGGGAGGCGGAGGCAGGAGACTCGCTGGAGCCCAGGAGTTGGAGGTTGCTGTGAGCTGTAATGCCACGGCACTCTACCCAGGGGGATAGCTTGAGGCTCTGTCTCAAAAAAAAAAAAAGCATAAAAAACTGAAAATTCTACTGTCATGGATTGCTTTGTGGCAGCACATCCAGAATTCTTACTTTCCCATAGTGAGATTGGCATTTTGCATATTAGGTTGCCATACCTTAGGAAATACAGGCACAACCAGCCAGCCAGCACTTTTGATCAGTATTATGGCCACCTAGGAGAATGGAACCCCCACCTGAGTCATTAGGAAATCATACTGTGATATTGGGTTTCTAACTGACTGCAGTGGGTGTGGGCATGCCTTTGGGGAGCTCCAAGACTCCCACTCAGATTGAACAAGAGCAGCTTCACATTTTAAAAAATTTTCAGTTTTACCTGTTCTGCTTCCACATAACATTTCATTTGAAGAGTTCAGCTAAGGAAGACTGATTGTAGAATAATTTGCAAAATTTGGTATCTGTTGTGAATGTCCTGATGGATATTGGGTCTGTCTTGGTAATTGAATGAGTGAAAGTTAACTCTTAAACAAGGTGCTTTGGTTTTCTCCTATTTAAGTATCTATCACACTTCTGTTTCAGAGGTTGGAGTAATTTTAGCACCTGAAGAATAGGGACTACCAGATAACTGTAATTATATTTAAAATTTTCCTCTAAGTTTAAAACTTAAGAGTATTTAGATATTCACACTCTTAAAAGTCATCTAATGTTGAGCAATATAAGAATCTCATAGTAACAATTTATATTTTTAGCTCATTTAATCCTTATGGTGACTTGGTAAGGTAGATATAGTTATCCCCATTTTACGGATGAGGAAACTAGGCTGAGAAGCTGTGACTGGCTGCAGAGTCCACAGGTATAAATAGAAAGAGCTGAGACTTAAATCTCAATTTTCTAATTTGAGGTCAGCTGCTCCTTCTGTGTCGCTCTAGATCTGCCTGTGGCCTGAGTTGATGTGACCTGCGGAAGTCTTCACACCATCTGGCTTCCTCTTTAAAATAGAGGTCTTGGTGGGATGTGGTGGCTTATGCCTGTAATCCTAGCATTCTGGGAGGTTGATGTGGGTGGATTGTGTGAGCTCAGGGGTTCAAGGCTAGCCTGAGCAAGAGCTAGACCCCATCTCTACCAAAAATAGAAAAATTAGCCAAATGTTGTGGCAGGCATCTGTAGTCCCAGTTACCACTGGGGAGGCTGTGGCTGGAGGATTGCTGGAGCCCAAGAGTTTGAAGTTGCTGTGAGTTATGATGATGCCACAATACTCTACCCAGAGTGACAGGGTGAGATTCTGTTTCAATAAATAAATAAATAAAGATTTTGTTTCAATAAATAAATAAATAAAGATGCATCTCATTGTTACCATTACTGCCACTGTCACTGCCTCATTTACTAAGGAACAAGAAATCCTGCGTATTCTCTTGGTTACCCAAGGATAAGTTAATCTGGAATTTTCTTTTTCACTTGAACAATAGATAGTTAACAGATCCTTTTAAGCTTGGTTTATTTTCCACATATAATGTTGCATATTTCTCTGCTTTAGCCTTCCAAACACAATTTTCTTTTACCTAGATGAACATGATACTGTAAGGTTTTGGAGGCACTTAGTCATGTTGTGGACAAGGATCGAATAGGATCCCCGAACTATAGATTAGAAATGCAGCTCATTAGCTGAGTTGAATCCTTTGAGCTCAAGAGCTTCCCTTAGTTGTTTAGATCACAAAACCATTCAGTATGCAAGGCCTTGCTCCTTCCTTGATTAGAAACTACTTATTGACTTAAATTTACCAGCAATTCAAAGTACACAGTTGATTGGTCTTCTTACTCTCCAGGTTATACTGGGAAGGTGAGCTGCAGTTTCCCCTAAAGGTGCAGTTTTGGTCTTTCAGACTAATTTTTTCCCCTTCAGATATGGACTAAGCATAAATGTAGTTTTGAAGCTAAGAATTAGAGCCTACTTTAAATAATTCTTTTAAAAATTATCTTTTAGTTAGATACTGTCTCTTATACCTGCCTTCACCTTCCAAGTAGGAAACTCAGATGGTGTATTTATTCACATGCACCACTTTTCATTCCTAGTAAGAATGTGCCTTGTGGCTTGGAATGACAATATGGAGGTAGTGTCAAATTGCTGTTATGTTTCTTTGGTTGCAAATTCTCCTTGCGTTCCAGGGTTGAAAGTACAGAACTTTTCTTTTTCTAAAAAACAAGACATTGTGGAAAGAAACCGCTGGTATGTTGTTTTTTTAGAGAAAGCTTGAAAGTTTCAGCTTTTCATTTGTTTACTAAAATGTAGATCTTTCCTAAAAGGATTGTAATCTAGTGCAAAGATTTTGAAAGTTATAGGTTATAAAACATAAATTAACCTTTTTACCCTCAGAAGAAGTTTGTGTGTGTCTGCTGTGGGTTGCCAGTAAGTTCAAGGCCCTTCCAAAGATACTACAGATCATCATGGTTGTTCAGTGTACTTTTGAGGCTCCATCAAAGATTAGTTTCTTATTTTTCATGTTAATTGTAGATACCTAGAAGGTCCTTTTAACTCCAGCACAATTTTATATGCTTTTACAAAACAGCAAGTGGCTAAGGTATATAGGCAAATGTATAGACATTACTTTATGCTCTTCCAGGATTATTTTTTTGCGTTATACCTTTTTGTTTTTTTAAGACAGTGTCTCATTCTGTCATACTGGGTAGTGTGCTGTGGCATCATAGCTCGCAGAGACCTCAAACTCATAGGCTCAGGTGATCCTCTTGCCTCAGCCTCCTATGTAGCTGGGACTACAGGAGCTCACCTCAACTCTCAGCTTTTTTTTAAGAGACAGGGTCTTGCTCTTGCTGAAGCTAGACACCTTTCGGTTTGTTCAGCTTATTTTGAGGTTCATGAACCCAAGAAAGCTCTTTGAGTTACAGAACATACGCAGACTGTCCTAGCTATGGCAGGGATGTCTCTATCTCCAAGAGCAAGTACCTACATATAGTTCAGGTCATCTTAGGGTATGTGGGTGGGTGGGTATGTTTTTGGGTTGGGGAATATATTTAGTGGATAGGTTTTCTGGCCATTTATGTTACTTCTATGTACTATTGATTTGGTTTCTTTGTTATTTCCAGGTAAATATGCAGAGGACATTTTTGGAGAGCTCTTTACTCAGGCAAGAACCTTTGCTTTTCGGGTAAGCTCCCTTGCTGAGAGGGTTGACCGACTACAAGTTAAAGTCACTCAGTTGGATCCCAAGGAAGAAGAAGGTAAGAAAGCTGAGCTCAGCATTTGCAGGCTCCACTCAACAGTTTCTTAGAATTTTTTCCCCTGAGTGAAAAGTAAAAAGTTAGGGGAGAAATTGCAGAGACCTATGGAATTCTGCTTTAAATTGACATAAGCCCGGGTGTTGTAAAGAAACCTTTTTAGCTCTACCACACCCTCATACACTTCCTTGCTCCCATTCCCCCAATTCCCTCATTCTCAGGTTTCCCCTCCTTCAGTCGTATTTTGCTACCATAAAAGTACTTGGAAGATTCATTCCTCCTAGGGAGAGGCCTGCAAGATCTGGCCACATAGTAAACCTTTGTGTTGCCTCATTTTGTTCAGTCATGAAATGGCTGGGCTGCTGACAGCCTTGTGGGGCTTCCCCAGAGGGGGAGGAAAAAAAACCTGGCTGCAGATAGCCGCAGCCAAGAAATGCAGCAGCTGAGGCCTCTCTGACTAGTGTGACTCAGTATTTGCTCCAATAGCGTGTCGTCCATTTTCTAACACCTTCCATCTTCTCTCAGTGTCACTACAAGGAATCAACACCCGGAAAGCCTTCAGAAGCTCCACCGTTCAAGACCAGAAGCTTTTTGACAGAAATTCTCTCCCAGTGCCTGTCTTAGAAACATACAATACCTGTGATAATCCTCCCCCTCTCAACAATCTTACTCCTTACAGGTAATGGCTGGCTAACTCTTCCCTTTTGGGTCTATAGTTAACAACACTAGATTGCCTTTATATCTGAAGAATTGTTTACATCATAGGTTTGTATCAAAAGCTTACTACCTACTCCAAAGTTGTTTGTGGCAAAAGCTACAGTTTACCCTATTAACAGTTGTCATTTATTGTTTGGTTTCTAAAATTGGTAATGAATATATGTTGAAAGTTGGCTGTAACATTGTATGCTACAGAGTTTAATTTGGTATAAGCCAAGTCCATCTTGGATCCCATCCAAGGAATTTAGTTATTATAGAACCAAAAGGACTGTGTTACAAGGCGGTCCTACAACATAGATCCCAGGGGCAACATTCTAGCAAGGCTCCCACTTAACTTGGAAACCACTAGATTACCAGATGTTTGGGCGTGTTAGTGGGGCCAGCCTCATGGACTGGCTGCTTTGAGCCCAGAGGGGTCTTTCCAGAGCTTAAGGAATAATTGGAATTCTTCCAAATGAGTGTGATTCACTTTGTTTTGAACATCCTTTCCGCATTTCCTTCTGAAATGACCTACCTTGCTGCAGCTGGACTTGAAAAAGAAGGTAGCCTTATAGACAACTTAAAGCCTGTCCCTGCCTATGGTTTGGTAATGTCATCCTGTAAAAAAAATATACTGAACAGGGGTAAAAAGTGAATATTTATCTTGTTTACATCCATAAATATCTTTGGAACAGGTAAAAAGTAATTATAGATAGCTGAAGGCAGTTGTCTTCTATCAGACATGGGTACACTGCAAGGTAGAGAGAGAGTATGTGTATGTGCCCCCCTATGAAATTCAAGGACATCGGCCTGTTTCAGAGAGCTTGAATAGGAGCTTGGTAGCTTCTCACACAGATATAGAGAGTGTGCATGACATCTGTCCTTTGTTATTACTATGTGAAATTATGTTTGCCCCTTAGCTTTCAAAGAGGCTGGCCAGGCGTGGCGCCTATGGCTCAAGCGGCTAAGGCGTCAGCCACATACAACCGAGCTAGCGGGTTCCAGTCCTGTCTGGGCCTGCCAAACAACAATGATGGCTGCAACCAAAAAATAGCGGGACATTGTGGTGGGCACCTGTAATCCTAGCTACTTGGGAGGCAGAGGCAGGAGAATAGCTTGAGCCCAGGAGTTGGAGGTTGCTGTGAGCTGTGATGCCACAGCACTCTACCCAGGGGGACAGCTTGAGGCTCTGTCTCAAAAACAAAAACAAAAAACAAAGAGGCTGGCCAGCATAGCAAGACAGAGATTTGACTCCATGACCTCCATTATTGAGTCTAGTTGAGTTTGGGCAGAGGAATTGTGGGGCAGAAAGGAGTCACATCTCTTCTCCGCCTTTTGGCTAAGATCAAGTGCAGAAAGGAGTCACATACCTGATAACTATTATAGGAGTGTGATAAAATAGGATAAACAAATGATATTAAGAGAATTTTATTCTTCAGTTAATGGTATTTTCCTTTTTAATGTACAACACCAGAATTAGCATCTCCTCTCAATTATCTAGACTCGGCCTAAGAGAAACAAGTGGTGGTTGTTTTTCAGAACAAGATTTTACATAGAAATCATTAATGTTTAATTTGGAACTGCTTTCTGTGCGTTGTGATAGGATTGGAAGACAGGGAATAGAATCACTTTTTCAATTTGTTTTAGTTCAGAATAATGTGAAAATAAATGTTCGTTCTAAACATGTGCTTTCAGTATAGTCAGAGGGGCTTAGCCACGCCGAAGTGCAGGATTCCAACCAGGATCATTGAATTTGGCAGATAGCCCTTATGTAGACCTTCAGTAACTTTCTCTGTACTACTGTCACAGCCACTAAGAGAGAGTGATCAAACCTTGTGGTCTAAAACAGATGACTTTCTGTTCTCACTGGAGCCACCTTGTGGTGGGGGGGTGGACACTGAGCTACGCTAGTAGGGAGCTAGAAGGTAGAGTACTGTGGTTATTTCCGTGTGCAGAGGAATAACAGCTGTACACATGTACACATATATATTAAATGTACACATGTGTACACAAGTTTCAGGTGGGTAGACAGCTATTAATTTCTTCCTAGAGAGTCCTGGGGTGTGTTGGTAGGAAAAGGGGAACCAGTGGCAGAAATCTCCTCTGATATGCCAGGATATCCGGATATGTTCAGGGAGATGTTTGTGGTCCTGCAGATCATTAGAAATAATCAGGATCATAAAAAAATTTAAAAAAGAAAGAAATAATGAGGATCCCTGCTGCTATAGCCTGTTGTTGCCCTAACCATGGAAATTACTCTACTAGGAATTGAAAGTAAGGCTAAGGTTCTTAAAAAGCCAGATTAGTAGAGAGGTGCCATTCAGGGGCATTGAAATGCTGGTCTGTGAGAGGAAATATGCAATCGATTCAAATGACTTCTTGATTCCTTGGTGTAAAAACTGTTAACTGGTAGGTGTTTGGAATATTGGATTTGGTTGGGAGCTCATCTGTCTACTGACAGCTACTTGTCTTCATTTCTATCCCAGGGACGATGGAAAAGAAGCACTCAAATTCTACACAAACCCTTCATACTTCTTTGATCTTTGGAAGGAGAAGATGCTGCAGGACACCAAGGATATCATGAAAGAGAAGAGAAAGCATAGGGTGAGGGGAAAGGGGCCTCTGTTCTACACATCAGTAGGCACGGTTGTGGAGGGGGGATAAAAAGGAAGCCAGTCTTATGTGAAGTAATCATTTCGAGTGGCTGCTTGCTTGGATGCCAGGTGAAACTCTTAAAAAAATGTGTCCACACCAAGCACAAGCAAGATGAAAGTATAAATCACACCAAAAATGTGTTTGTTCCCCCCGGCACTATTAACAATTGAGTATATTCAGGCTGAGTTTTAGAAATTGACTTTTCTATTCACCATTTATTCCTCTTGCAATTTGCACCTGACTCTGCTGGATACTCAAGCTAGGCTAGTATCTTCCCCGCCAGTTTTGCAGCTCATTTCTTAGAGATCAGCACAAGGTTCTGTAGTACCTGATTCACAACAGGAACAGTTTAACACTGTCTGGTGGGGGGATATGCATAGTTTTTGGAGATTCTCCTAGTGGTATGTGTGAGACCCACCAGTTGCAACCTCACAATCCCATTAGCATGGCTGCCAGGAGCCCACGAGAGTGCCGGGGGCTATTGCACCTGCACAGGCTGAAAAATTCTTCCTTGGTTTCTGTTTTGTTTTATTTATTTTATTAACTGTTTCCTTATATCTGTCTCGGATATTTGCAGCTGTCATTATTTCTCATCTTTTTTCACCGCCTTTTGTGGCAGAGCAATTAGCAAATAGCTACTTACTAACTTTCTAACAATTATAACTGTTCAAAAACATGAATGTTCCCTGAACCTGAACTCAAAGGGGGAAAACAAAAAGAAAAAACAAGACTGAGTTACCCAAAGATGTTATAGATTTCCCTCACTAGAGGTGTTTGAGTTTGGGATTGAGCAAATGTTTGTCCAGGGACCAGTTTGGATTAGATGGCCTCTAGGACCCTTCAAACCTGGTAATTGTATAAGTTCTGTAGTTATCTTATGTTGTCTAGGCACATCATCTCTTGGATTTACATCTGTGAAGATGGGTAGAATTTCAGTGAACTTTGGAAAACGTTTTACAAACATTTTTCTGTTCCTTTTTATTATAGAAAGAAAAGAAAGATAATCCAAATCGAGGGAATGTAAACCCACGTAAAATCAAGACCCGTAAGGAGGAGTGGGAGAAAATGAAGATGGGACAAGAATTTGTGGAGTCCAAAGAAAAGTTGGGACCTTCTGGGTAGGTGATGCTTTTGTTCCATCATTAGCATTCTTTGAAGGGGCTGGGAGACAACTGTCAGACCACTCTGGCATGATACCTTTCACACTCCCTGAAGTCTGGCTGTGTAGCTTAGATCAATACCAGTATTAATCAGCTACTTTAAAGTATATCTATGTGGCTTGGCACCCGTAGTGCAGTGGTTATGGTACTAGCCGCATACACCTAGGGTGGCAGGTTCAAACCCGGCCTAGACCAGCTAAACAACGACAACTGCAACAAAAAATAGCCAGGCGTTGAGGTAGGCACCTGTAGTCCCAGCTACTCGGGAGGCTGCTGCAAGAGAATCGCTTAAGCCCAAGAGTTTTGGGTTACCGTGAGCTGTGATGCCATAGCACTCTACTGAGGGCAACATAGTGAGACTCTGTCTCAAAAATAAATAAATAAATAAAGTGTATCTATTCATTCCTGTAATCGCAGCACTCTGGGAGGCCGAGGCAGGTCAATCACCTGAGCTCAGGAGTTTGAGACCAACCTGAGCTAGAGCAAGACCCCACCTCTAAAAGTAGCCAGGTGTTGTGGTAGGCACCTATAGTCCCAGCTACTGGGGAGGCTGAGACAAGAGACTCGCTTGAGGCCAGGAGTGTGAGATTTCTGTGAATTGTGATGCCATGGCCCTCTACCAGGGGTGATAAAATGAGACTCTGTCTCAAAAAAAAAAAAAAAAA